CTCATCACAGCACACCAAAATGCTACACTCTTGAAGTTCACGGCAAGATACTAGAAGAAACTTGTTTTGTATACACAGGTGTACTGACAGCAAACTGGCCGAAGGGAGTATTCTACTCCTTCCTGATACTTCCTGAAATACCCAATCATCTGACATATGAAACACAAGTAGACAGAAATGGTCCTTCTCCCTACCAAGATACCCAAAGTCTGTCAATCTCATAAAGCTCTCAGAATTGGATCTAATCACCCTTCTGATGTAAGAAAACCTAGTGACCAGCAACTTCCCAACATGCTAGGACTGCTTAGGCAGGCTCATAGCCTACCTTATGAATTCCAACAAGATGTATCACTGCACTTGGCATAGTCTCTTGGTCTATGGAACGTAAGGCCTGAGGTTCAGTGCCATCTGAGATTCAGATGGATTTCAACATTTAACTTTATATTTTAAGTTTTAAGACATGAAAAATTTCTTCCTCCCCTGTATATAACTAAGAGAAGCCAATTAGTGTAACACAGGACAAACAAGAATATAACTAAGAGAAGCCAATTAGTGTAACACAGGACAAACAAGAAAGGTAGGTCATGTTTTAGTCAACTGACCAAACTGTGTCACTTTCAATTGATGCAGAAACTGTACTGAATCGAAGAGGATGGAACTAGCTGGAGTGCAATGTAATTTCAGAGCGTGGAAGCTCTGAAATTATGTTACTCTCCAAGAATAAAACAATTTACATTGTTACTCTCCGAGAATAAAACTAAACTATGAACATAAACTATGAACATAATTTCCTGATGCTGGCATAATATAAATACTGCACTCCCAAGCCAACTACACCAGAGCACAGAGTGCTGTCCTCTGAAGATGCCAGCCACAGAGACTGGCGAAACGTTAGGAAGAACAACCTTCAGAACACGGCCAAAGAGCCCGAAAAACCCACAACAACCACAACATATAAGCATACATTAAAAGGGTGCAAACGATTCTTTCATTGCTTCTTTGTCAGCTGCCTCAGCAGTCCCCTTGAAATGAATGTGTAATACGATGAGAGTAGGTGGGTTGACAAATAATTCTAGTAGTGCTATACAGTAACATTAGATCAGTAACTTCTTTTGTAGGTGAGCATGGCTTACCAAGTCACCTCTAGCAAGCAAGCAAATAAATAAATAAATCTTTTGGGAACATTTTAGGAATAATGCCTAAAAATCAGACCTTTTCTTCCTAATTCAATCCTGCCTCAAAGATATTTTGACTAACTTTCTATCTACAAATGCCTATGTTTTTCATTTGTGGGACATCAAAGATCGAAATTAATTAACCATCTTCCAGATAACAGAAACTTACCTACCAAGTCACAGGGGAGGGGGGAGACGACTTAACTCACTACACAAGATTCACTGTTTATCTGTAAGTTAGTACTACGTCCTTACCACAAACTCAAATGTAGCAGGTGCAGTTTTATTTCATATCCTTCTTCTAACTGGACTTAAAATGCATTGATCAACATCATTTGTGTGCCTTGGCAGCTAAAAGATCACCTAGATCTGGGTTATAGCCCTATCCAGCCTCAGAAAAACCACTTATATAGTAGCCTATAGGAAAGCCCTGTCTATATGCTGCCATCTTCCTCAGTTCCTTGAAATCTTTTGATCTCTACGATCCTTAACAGGACTACCCATAGCGCTCATTTTTCTGCGTCTCATCCAATGCTGTCAATACATCAGATACCCTTGGCATGACCCACTGCATTGTACAGAGTCCTCGATGTCACAATATTGAAGGTTATCACTGTGCCAGATCCAAGTTTGCTCCTGATGCTGGCACAATGCCACGAGCTGTGAAACATAGCTATACAATTACATAAAATAAGGTCTGCTGAAGGTCAATGAAGTATTGCAATTTATTTCTGCTTCTATCCACTCATCCAAGCCAAAAAAAAAAATTGCTTTTCCCCATTTCAAATAGTAGTTAGATACTATTATGATATTAGAAAACCAAGCTTATTTTTTTATAGAGAAGAACACAAATTGATAACAAGTGTGTTTACTTTTTGGGGCCTTAATTTATGTTCCCAGAAAGAAAGAAAAAAGCTTTCCATTTAAGGTATGGAATCATGACTGAAGCTACATTGCCAAAAAACAAGGAAATTGAGATCATAGATCAACTCCTTCTCATTCAAAACATGAACACACTGATGCACTTTCCATATCTCTATTTCCACTCTAAATAAAAACAAAGAGGTTAGATCTACTTTTTGATTCTTAAAAAAAAGGGGGGGGAACCAAATCTACTTTCTCTAGAACTAAGCCTATTAAACATTAGGCTTCCTTCCCCTCAATGAGACCAATCACATTTGACTAAGATTATGTAACTGTAGACAGGACTGCATGACACATCTGCTGTTTGCAGATGTTAATACAATCAAAGCCTGAGTTCAACTCTGCTCTTCCACATCACTGCTGGTATTATATAGAGGGAACAGGGTGGCTAGTGAGATTATGATGCAGTGTTTTTTTGGAGTGGAATTTATGAATTTATTAAATCATACTATAATACCAGAAAAATGACTTCCAGATGATACCAGAAAAATGTGCCAATATAGCTATCTTTTGAAGTGTGATCTGTAATCTGGATTTTCTTCCTTTCAGGGGTGCACTTTCAATTATAACTTTTTTGCTTAAAGCCAAAATCACTTATTTGGGAACTTCTCTTGCTTTTTATCATATAGGAACACATAGATATCAGGTTTAAGAAAATAAAGTGTACTCCTACTGAACAAGCTAGGGCAAGGTAATTGTTTTTTTTAAAAAACACTGTATAAACAAAGCAGACAGTCAAAAATAAAACAGCTTGGAGTCTTAAGACAAAGCAGGTCACCCTCCTCAAAACAGTTCTAGCTGGATTTCTAAGGAAATTACAGCCAACCATAAAGGAAAGAGAGGTGACATAAAGCCTATCTGTAAAGCAAACAGCTCCTGTACACTAAAAGACATTACTCACAAATCCTAGTTCTTCCCCAAGAAAGATTCATGAAAAACTCACATTAAAATATAATTGTCTCTAAAATGCCACATATTTTTGTCTTGTTTTGTTTTAGTTTGTCTCTTCGGATTTTGCTTGATATTCTATTATAGGTGTTCCCTTAAAAGCTAGTTCTATCCAAGGTGGAGGAAGTGGGGTTAGAAAATTAGAATTTTCACTTGGTAACTGCCACTCCACATTGTCCACTTTGCTAACAGGCACAAGCAAAGTCCTTAAGCTTCCAGAAGGTGGTGGAACAAACCAGAAGTAACCATTGACACTAGCTGCTGGGGGGGGGGGGGGGGGGGAGTCCTTACAATTC